AGCTATTAAACTAATTTAATTGTGATTTAATTATTAATTATTTTAATTTATTTAATCATAAGTTAAATATTATTAATTAATAAAATATTTATATAAATTTAATATAAATAATAATATTAAAATATATCAATAAATATTTAAATCTCTAAATTTTATTTTTTTTTTATTAAACTAATAATTCAAATTAAATATATTATAGATTAATTTATATTAATAATATATATTATCACTATAAAATTTTTCAACTCAGGTTAGTTATATCTTTAAGTTTCTACTTGAGGTTATTAATTGCAGCTTATTATAGTTAAGACGTTAAGATCTGCCTAGCTCTTAACTTTACCAAATCTATATATTTAAACTTAAGCAAATCTATTAAGTATAAAGACTTAAAAGATAAAATTATGAATAATTTAATTAAAGAATTCAGATGATGAACTCAATTATAAATAATATGTAGAGATTATGTCAGACTATATAAAAACACAAAAAGGTAGAAAGATATAAGTTTTAATTAATTCTTTAATTAATATTGAAAAATTGTATTTATAAAAGAGTTTGTAATCTGTAAAAGAGTTAATTTATAACATAAGCAAAAAGTCTATCTATTTATATAAAATTTCTTTTGTCATGGCTAACTATTTACTATTTTATAAACTAATTAATTAATAAATAAAATATAAGTAAAATAAATATATATAAAATAATAAAAATATAAAATATAATAGAAATAATAATAAAAATCAAAATAAGTATAACACTAAATATTTCTAGATTTCATTTAATTTATAAAATTAGAATTATTATCAGTATTTGGAAGATTTGCAGAATTATGTAGATTCTTTGTATTTTTAAAATTCGTAGAATTATAGATTAAAAGATTATCATATTGCGTAATTCACATGACTTTGTTATTATTGGTCAATTGCTTTATTGACAATATAATATAAATTATTAGTATTTGAGAAAATTGATATATAAATAATATTTAAAATAATATTTACTTTCTATAATCAACATTATCATAAGATATTATTAAAAGATAATTTGAAAGATTGTGATTTAATATAAGATAAAGGTAGAATATTTTTAATACTTAAAATATAAGAAATGTTATAATTATAATTATTTATAAACAATTATTAATTTAATTTTAATTACTATATTTATTTCTTTTATATTTATTTATTTAATATTTTTACTATTAAAAATAATGCTATAAATTATAATAAATAATATAATCAAAAATTCAAATATTTTTTTAATTTACTCAAGAACTTTATTATAGTTTATTATTTAATTAAATATATCAATATATAATATTATAATAACTTTATTTTTTAATTATATAATAAATAATTTAAGGTTATTTATAAGTTAAATAATTGTAATTTTTAAAAAATTTTAAATTAAAAAATTTTATTTTTGACCTTTGACAATCTTATTAACATTTACTTTTACCAATATAAATCAAAATAGAATATTATAAAATTTATCATGAAGAATAACTTTAATTATTACAATTTATTAATAGTAAAGTGAATTTTAAGAAAAATTTTAAAAAATTATTATAATAAATTTTTTAAAACTTAATTTAAAAATTGAATTATTTAAAAAACTTCTTAATAAACTTAAAATTTCTTCTAATAAAGTTGATAAAATATATAATAAACTATATTTTTTATATAATAGTTAATATTTAAAAAATTAATATTTTTTTTTTATGCTCGCAGGCAAATTTTGCCTGCTCTACAGTTTAAGGGAAAATAGGACGATCAAATTAAACAAGATGAAAATATGGAAATAGAAATTATGCTCATTTATTATGCGCGTTTACAGTACTTATTTATGTAATGATATTGCTAAATTTGTGTCACTGATTTAAAGAAAATTTTTTTGCGGTATTAACTATTTCTTTCCAGTTGTCTTGACGACAAACTGAGCCCAAAACACGGTTTTTTTTTTTTCATAATTATTCAATTATCTTAGTGCTCGCTCCTTTCTCGTTAATAAACTTGCAAGAGTTGTAATATAAATATATCGATATGGGAATCCAAGAAAAAAAAATGAAGTATATTTTGATATCTGGTGGCGTGATTTCGGGTATTGGGAAAGGAATATTTGCTTCTTCTCTGGGTCTCTTATTAAAAACTATCGGATTAAGGGTTACCGCTATAAAGATAGATCCTTATATGAATATCGACGCGGGAACTATGAGTCCTATCGAACATGGTTGGTTTTTTCTCTCCCGTATCAGTACCATAGTTTTCATTCATATTCCCAATTGATTTGTGATTTATATTATATATGTAATAGGTGAAGTTTTCGTATTAAATGATGGAGGAGAAGTTGATCTTGATCTAGGAAATTATGAACGTTTTCTTGATATAACACTTACCAAAGATAATAATATCACAACTGGAAAAATCTACCAAAAAGTTATCAATGAGGAGGTTACAAATAATTTTGAATAATATATATTTTTTAAAGCAAAATCATCTATTAATAATTATTAATAATCGTTATTATTTGATCAAATAGCGAAAAGGAGATTATCTGGGCAAGACTGTACAAGTGGTATAAATCTACAAGTTTTTTTTCATCAAGTTCACATAATAAATGAGTTTTAATTTGTGTTCGAACTTTGGTTTTAGGTTCCCCACGTAACTGATGCAATGCAAGAATGGATTGAACGAGTAGCCGCAATACCTGTTGATGAAAGTGGCGAAAAACCTGACGTGTGCATTATTGAGGTGTGAATTAATTACTCTAGTTTTTTTATAGATGATAAGGTAAAAATCTAAAAAGAATTCGTACATAATTTAGCTGGGCGGCACAGTTGGTGACATAGAATCCGCCCCGTTTGTCGAAGCGATGCGCCAATTTCAATTTCGAGTAGGATACAAAAATTTTGCATTGGGTCACGTGTCACTTGTTCCCATTATTGGTCCAGTTGGCGAACAAAAAAGTAAACCAACCCAAGCCACCATAAGAGAATTAAGATCCCTAGGATTATCAGCTGATTTGGTAGACTTAAATATTATGTTAGTAAATATTGAGATGTCTTGTAATAATGAAATTCAATGTCATTTCAGATTGCGTGTCGTTGCTCCACAACATTAGATAATGACGTTCAAAATAAAATCTCAATGTTTTGCCATGTTGGAAAAGATCAAGTAAGTATTGAATTAAATATATTATCATTTATTTTAAATCACTTAAAAATCAGCTGGTTAATTTTGATACATCTTAAGGTACTTTCTGTTCGAGATGTCTCCTCAACTTACCATGTTCCTCTTTTAATAAGAGAACAAGGTGTTTTGGATTTTCTAAGGAAAAGACTAGATTTGGATAGCATTAATATTTCATCGGCTCAAATCGAGAAAGGCGAAACCTTGTTGAAACAATGGACGAAGTTAACAATAGAGTACGGATTTTAATATATATATATATATATATATATATACAAATAAAGTTTTTATTAAATTTTTAATTAATTTTTTTTAAGCCATGATCGCCTCTCACAACCCGTTATAATAGCCTTGGTAGGAAAATATACGAACCTTCAAGATTCATATCTTTCTGTTAAGAAGTCGCTTGAACATTCTGGATTAAGATGTGAGAGAAAATTAATTCTTAAGGTATGCTAAGACTAATATTTCGTGATAAAGGTATAATTAATATATTCACTTGCAATATATTTTGAATAGTGGATCGAAGCTTCATACTTGGAAGCAGAATATGAAAAAGAAGGTCCGGAAAAATATCGAGAATCATGGGAAGATTTAAAATCTGCGGATGGGATTTTGGTTCCGGGAGGATTCGGAACTCGTGGCACAGAGGGAAAAATTGCTGCGGCAAGATATGCACGCGAAAATAAAGTTCCTTATTTGGGTATTTATGGTTATTATTTGAACACAATGAAGCGACTTTTGCTTGCTCATAATGTTTTGTGTTATTTTAGGAATTTGTCTAGGGTTGCAGGTAGCTGTAATTGAATTTGCTCGCAACGTTTGCGGTCTTGAAGGTAAATATAATACATTAATTGGTACTAGTCCAATGTTATGTACACAAGTAATTAACTCGTAATTTATCTCTTAATAGCTGCAAATTCAGAAGAGCTCGACAAAAATGCAATACATCAGGTTGTTGTCAATATGCCGGAAATTTCAACAACACATCTTGGCGGAACAATGAGATTAGGGTTGAGATCTACTATTTTTCAAGACGGAACAGAATCATGGTCAACAATACGTAAGAATTGTAATGGTTTTTAAGTAAACCAAAAAAAAAAACTTTATTTAACATTGATTGGTATGACTTATTAAGGAAAGCTATATGAGAACGCCCAATCTATCTCTAAAGATAATCATCATGTTGTTGAGCGTCATCGACATCGATATGAAGTAAACCCTGCTCACGTATCCATGTTCGAAGCAAAAGGGTTACATTTTGTAGGACGTGATGAAACCGGAGAAAGAATGGAAATAATGGAACTTAAAGGTAATATACGATCAGTATTTAAATAAATCAACAAGTTTCCTTTGTCTAACAAAACTATATTGAATTTGTTAGATCATCCATTCTTTATTGGCACACAATTTCATCCTGAATATCTTAGTCGTCCTCTTAAACCGTCTCCTCCTTTCCTTGGATTTGTAATGGCTTCTGCAGAATTTTCAAAGAAATCTGTATTAAAGAGTAAACCAAAGACTAATGGAATTTCGGAGACTCATAATCAATTCTAATAATTTTCATTGTCACTAATTTTGCTGGTAACTAGATGAAAAAAAAAATATTATTATACGATGAGATTGAACTGAATGAACCTGTTATAGGACTTTGACTGCGAACTTTTGAAGTTACACTATAAAGAATTCTATCGATCGCCTCGTTTCACACACTAAAATCTGCTGAAATTAAAACTTTCTATAAAAATTGAGTTTAAATTTTATCTATCCGTTTTCTTCTTCTTCTTCAAAAAAAAAAGATAGGAACGAAAATTAGTCTGCATAAAACTTTATTGGAGCTTTCATCCATTCATAATATCTGTATTCTTGCATTCCACTGAAATCATCTAAGCCTTGTTCCTCTTCACACCTTTTAGGAATAAACCCATGTTCACACATTCGTTTTTCAAACAACGTAACTTCTTTAGTATGAGTTGAACGAAGAGGAATCGTTAAATAAAAGATTCCCTTTGGTGATAAGAAATGATTTATCACTTTCGGTATCCAATCGGTATGCGGAATTTCATACACAATATCTGCACCGATAATAATTTCAAATTTTTCTTTAGATATATCTGAAATAGGATTTTCTTTTTCACCACAAGCAATTTCTCTCCAATCAAGTTTTTCCACATTTACAGTTGAATCCAATTTATTTAATTGAACGTTATAAATGACGTTAGAGAGAACACGTGGATGGCAATCCGTTAGAATAACTTTTGGGCAACCCAATTTCGCACAAGTCAGACCGACCAACCCGGTACCGGTCCCGATCTCGAGAAGAGGATTCGACCGAAGTTGATCCAACGGCATAGCAAAACCTGACGTGCAACGTCTAATTATGATTTATAATCCGACAATAATAAACAAAAATTACATGAAGAAAAAAAACAAAAAAAAGAAATGATTTATAGTTAATTACCTTGCTAATAAATAAGCGGCACCCCACGTCTTGAAACCAACATCATCGTCTAGCAAAGTTGTATCACGTATTTTCAACATGACAGGATGATCACTATCAAGCTGTGGTAAAAACTGCCATTCTCTAACAATCGGACCGGATGCTGATAAAAGTAATTCGGGTTATCATTGGTATTAAAACGAAAAAATTTACCTTAAAGAAAAAAAAAAAAACCACACCAACTTTTCCGCAAGCAGCAGATAGGCATTTTGCCGCGCGTTCCAAGACATCATCTCTTTCCGAATCATCATCCATCCATTTCAAAGAAGAAGAAACAAGTTTTGTTAACCATTCGATGACATTCTTTTGATCCAAAAAATTATTTTTTTCTCCGCATTCATTTAATTCCCAAATTGGTTTAGTTTCTTTTTCAAAAAAATATTGTTCGAGCTTTTTTAAAACGTTTAAAAGGGATTCATAATTCGGTGGTTCTTTACTTAATAAAGGAAGTATTAATGTTTCAAGTTCATTCATTTTTTTTTTTTTTTTGAGGGAAGAGAAAGGATTGGTTGCGAAACATGCTATTTATATCATGTAACACGTTAATCGGAAAAAAAAAAAAAGTTATCCATGATTAATTTTCCGCGACCCTTCATTAATAAGATAGATAAAAATAGGGGGAGGCATCGGGGAAAAGTTTTTGTGCGATGCAACGAAGAATTTACAGGTGACCAAATAAATCATGTTCACCCTAACGAACTTTGGATTAAATAGTTATTAGGTTTGTTATTGTTTAAACTTAATCGGTTTAATATAACTGATTATTTAAAAAGAAATTTTAATTCAAGAAATAGTGATAATCTAATCCTAAAAAGAACTTTTTGGTTGCAAAAAAAAAAAAAAAAAAAAAAAATAATAAAGAATTTTTTTTTTTTAATGTTTGAAGATTTCAAAAGAGGGCTCATTCAACATTGGGAAATCATCAAGTAAAAAAAAAGAAAAAGAATTTTTCAATAAAAATGACAATGATAACATTTTTGAAGTTCATTCATGTAAAAAAATTCTGGATCAACAATTCGCCTAGCATTTAAACAATGAAAAATTTTATCAATGTCTCATTCACCTAACCTTCCAAGTTCGAAAGTGTCAAACGATCTCTCATATTAACTTGGCATATAATCAACAAATTCTTGAATTTTTTTTTTTTTTTTTTATAATTACCTTACATATGTATGTGTGTGTATTGATGAACAAATCAAATCCACCTTGGTTCGTGCGTCAATGAAAAAAAAAAAATCTAAAGATCATAAAATTGTAAACCGTGCGCTTTCTTTCAAATTATCATAGATAATCGAATAAAGAAATACGTTCTTTCTGTTTAAACGTTAATCCTATGCCGAGTAAATCGAAAAGATGAGGTTGTTTTGGATCCACCTAACCGTTTAAACCAAAAAAAAAAGGATCGAGTAAGAATCAAAAAGAAAAAAAAATTGTGAAAATAAAAATAGACATGCAAGAGGTGCATGTGTCACTTGTGATGGTGCATTATCGATTGTAGCCACCTATAAAAAAAATATAAAGTTGAATTTGTCATGAATATGACCCCGGTCATTGATGAAAAAATATAAAAAGAGATATTAGTGTATAAATAAAGTTTAAGTAATGAAGGTATAAATGACTTCGTGAACAATGTTAGAGATATTAATATGAATTGGGCAAAATTGCATTGCCTATGATGTTTAATTTTGAACAATGCTCAAAAAAAAAAAATTAACGCGTAAGATATAGTGTCAGTTTTTACTCGTCAACGTGTTGGTATCGTGTCATTACGTGACATTTACAGGTTCTTAAAAGTATTTTATTGAAAATTTAAAGAATCATGAGAAATCTAATTCACATGTAAAAGATTTTCCTTTCCTTCTATATTTGAATGATTGTGAAAAAACTAAAAATGGATTAGTTGACTTTGTAATATATTCAAAGAAAGCAAACAAAAATTTCTGAAAAATTTTTTTTTTGGTTTACAATGGGAATTTTATTTTTCATTGTGAGAATAATTTGAAGTTATTTCAATGATCAAAAATTAGTTAAAGCCTCAAACTAGAAAGCTGTCAAATTTTACTGACAAATAAACAAACAAAAAAGGTTCGAATTCCCTTGTTCTAAGCCAAAAAATTGAACGGCGCAGTAAATTAATTAGGTTTCACATGCGAAATATTGTAAAAAACATGAAAATTATGCTCTTTTGGGGATCGATGATTTGTATTGAATACCACATGCATGATCAAGCATAAAACAATTATTATTTTTTTTTTTTTTTCTTTTTCTTTGAGAAAGAAAATGTAATCATTGGTACCAATTAGGTTAAACTGATTGATGCATTTTTTTTTTTTTCGATATAAAAGAAAAACGTTTTTCAAAAAAAAATTCGGATTATCCTTATTATGGAGTTAGAGGTTACCGAACCATTTTAATTTTAGAACTGAAAGAAATTCAATGTGTTAAAAGTTACACATGTGTATTTGTAACAGACACTCATTTGAAAATTTACAGAAAAGTCAATTGTGAAAAATATGTGCAATATACATGCAGTTTCTCTTTATCTGATATCAAAAAAAACCGGGTAACTTTTGAACCATATATATAATAATAATAATAATGATAATAATGCCCTTTCTAGTCATATATAGTAACTAATAAAGGTTTTAATATACCTATTGAATTCACGTATTACGTTATCTTTAATCAAGTTGAAGGTTCCCGGATTTGGATGACATAATTAATTGATAAACGACGCCGAGATGTTTCTGATAAACTTGATAAACTTGATAAACTTTAATTGTTACGTTTCTTTTAATTTGATATTTTATATCAAAAAAAGGCTTTTAAAATGACAAGGGACCAAATTGTCAAACAATTTATGTAATCGGTTACAATTATGAAAGTATAGAAAAAAAAATTCCTTTCTGAAACGACCTTTTTTTTCCCCCCACCCCAAAAAAAAAATAAATAAATAAAATAATAAATAATGATAACTTTAAATAACGCCGTATCATAATTGGAAAAAGCAAAGTTCCTCTTCTTCCCTGTCCCTGTTTGTGATGATGATGTTGTTGTTGTTGAAATGATAAAAAAGGTTCAAAATTACCAAGAAAAAATTTCTCGGAGAAATTTACAAAAAAAAAAATACGGTAGTATTTACAATTCGGAAATAAAAGATAAATAACATAAATAAAATAAGCTGTACATTGTTGGGGGGTTGACCGAAAAAAAAAAATTAAAACCTTCGTTTAAATTATTTGGTCTAAAATAAAATAAAATAAGAAAGAAACTTGATCTAATTGCATATGCGATTGATGAGAGAATTCGAGATTAAACACTCCTTATTCAAAACTTATTTCATTCATGATGATAATTGCTCTTTAAAATATGTAAACAATATATATATTTATTCTTTTATATGCAGAGTAATATCTAAGATTTAATTTATTAATAATATACAATATAATATAAAACAATGAACCATATAATGGTGATAGTTTGATGGGTGTTTGTGATTTTCTCGTATTTATATTATATATATTATTTTATTATTTTTATTGGGGTATTACTGTACACTACCATCCCTAATTTAAAAAATAAAAAAAGCTAAAAAAAAATAATTTTGAAATAAATTGAATCCCAAATTTATTTTAACATGCGCAGGAAGGTTCTGACACATATAAATCCAAGTTATCCTCGTTAAAACGAAATTTCTTTAGTGGTTGCGACTTTGGTTTTAATGATCATAACCTATTCGCGAACCCCAACTCCTATCATCAAGCTTCCTTTACTTTGCACACTTCCTTACTTATATTTCTCTGTGTCTATCGACTTAAAATTTTTTTCTTTTTCGAATTATTTCGATCTCGTTCTTTTTCATTCGGAAATTTAACGAGCGAGATTCTGAAATTCAAAGTACGGGCACAATTACCCATACGCTGACCAGGAAGCCCACCCCCTTACATCAACACTTTTTTATATTATATGAACCCCTTCTACATCTATCTGTATTTTTTATTGTTCATCTGATATTCTTAAAATTGCTTCTTGTAAAAAATAAAAAAGTACGTCATCGTGCTTTTGCATTCTCATTAATAGTTTTGTACATAGCGAGTGGTTAATTAACTTTTCTTCTCCTACCCCTTTTTAAGTAAAAAAAAAAAAAGGTATTTTTATCTTTTTGCCTCATTCTATAAATTCATTCTCATTTCCAACATGAATTTGCAAAACAACGACCAACAAATAACTCTTTTAGGTAGCTTATGTGTTTTTTGTTATTTTTTATTTTATTATTCTATACTTTTTTATTTTTTTTCTCATTGAAAAGGATTTATTTCCATATTTACCACTTTTTCTCATCGGATCAAATATCAACAGAGTTGAACCATTCAGAAATGAACGATACAATATGTTCCCCTCAAGACAACAACGACCCATTGATATCTGGAAATTCTGGTCTGCTACCATATTATCATCATCAGGATCCCATGATAATACAGATACCCTATTATTTCGAACATAATAATGTCAATAATAACAATCCGTTATACGAGGTATAAAGAAGAATGTCATCCATCACCTGATTTGTCGTCATTTTCTCACTTTTCTTTCTTCACCTTTGTCATCATCGTTCTCCCAATTTTTTCAACTGGTCCTTCCCATTATGTTCAATTTACTTATATCAACAACTTTAAACGTTCATTTAACCTTTTTTTTTTTTTTTTTTTAATATCTTGCGCTTCATAACTTTTAGGTTATTCCTCGTGATAATTTGATCCAAAATAATCAGAATCCTTATATGTCTCAAGAATTACAAAACAATAATATGGTAAACCTATGTTCGTTTTTATTTTTATTTGTTTTTATTAAATTTCAAATATTTGATGTTTCATCCGTCATACATATTATTCTTTTTAGTTATCACAATGTAATTCGGAAATAATTGATTTCGAACAAAGTGCTCAGAATGATAACGCTTGCCCTCAGTACGAAAACGAGTGGCAAATGGTTAGATTTATTGTTATTGTTATTATTATTATTTCTATTGATGCATAAATATACTTAACGGTTTTCTTTTTCTAGTCTAATAATACAACCGAGGTATATCCTAATAATGATATAGCGTATCCACATATGTATAGTTCGGTTTTGGAAGGCCCGTTCCCAACTTCAAACCTCATGACGATGGAGGAGACTTTATACACACCTCCATACCCTCTGATATCATTCAACGATGCACAAAATTTTAATTATACGTTTAGTTCGGTATGTTCAAAACGAATTAGTCTACTAGATTTAATTAACGTCAAACGCATTTATACCGAGTACTTCTTCTTTATGCATGCAGACTCAACCACACACCTATGCACCAGTTCCCCCTCCTTTGTACGAGGATTATCAATCATGCGTCACAATAAATGATGATTCTCCTTTAAATTCTCCAAGCTCTCTCTGTAATCAAAAGTCCCCTGTATATACAAAATGGACCGAAGAGGAAGATGAACGCTTGCGAAATGCAATAAACATATATGGACCTCACAAATGGTCTCTGATTGCTGCTCACGTACCAAATCGAACTCCGATGCAGTGCTCGACAAGGTGGTTAGGCGCTTTGAATCCAACCATTCACAAAGGACGTTGGACACCCGAGGAAGACGCGGCATTAAAAGAAGCGGTTAGCGAATACGTTGACCTTCTTGATTCAGACGGCCATCCACAGCCGATCCCTTGGAACAAAATTGCCTCACATATTCCTCACAGAACCGGAATTCAGTGTCAAGCTCGTTGGTCAGAAGCATTAGATCCAAATGTAAGAAAAGGTAAATGGTCACCTGATGAGGATGAAGTATTGAAAGGTGGTGTAAGTAGATATGGTAGATGCTGGATACGTATTGCTGAGTTAATTGAGGGACGAACTCAGGTACACATACATATTATTACCTTCGGGTGTCGATTCGTTTTAGGGATGATCGGCAGCCGGGTTTACCCGTCGCTTAAAAGCTTTTTTCTTTTTTATTGATATTTTTAATCGTTTTTTTTTTTTTAAATTTTACAGAGGCAATGTCGAACGAGATGGGTGCAGATCAGAAACAAGCAGTTAAAACTTGAACGAGACACTATTGCCGCCAAAAATGTTTCTGCGTCAAGCACGGTGTCGGTTGAAAACGACGAAGACATGGCAATGTTGACCCCGCCACATACGACACCATCCACACCGATGAATCATACACCGGTCATGCCAGTTATATTGCTTGGTGCCGCGTCAAATATGAACCCAATCAATGCTGCACATCATCAAGAACCACAAGCGATGAACCCACAAAGTCCCACTTTGTCTCCGCCCACGTTACCCGAAAATTCTTACACGACTTTGGAAAATATTCCTTCGTCCGTTGATTTCGAGCAAGAAAACCTTCATTATAAAATGTCGAATAACGACATATTTAATTTTAGACATTATTAAACGCTAATAACAGGATTTTTATGACAAAAACGAACATTTCGTCTCTTCTTCTTTTTTTATAATTTCTTAGAACATGGAATACCAAACATCAAAAATTTCTTAGAACATGGAATACCAAACATCAAAAAATACCTTTAATAGTATTCATTTTTACACTTAAGCAAACAATTTAAGATTTACGCAAAACACATCATTCATTACCTTCGTTTTATGGAGATTTCTCCTAAAAAAAAAATTAATAATGATAATACCCTATTAGAACTTCATTAATTTCATATATGTAAAGTTAGGTCGGTTTTTCACAAGGTAGTAAAAGAAAGTTCCGTCACATATGATTTTTAAAAAATGGTGTAATATGATATTACACAATTAAGGTTAGGTTTAATTCTTTCAATGGCTTTTCATAACGTTTTAAAAAAAAAAAAATTCGAATTTTTTTGTTATTTTTTAAAATTACTTTATTTTTAAAAATGTCGTTTAATTAAAAAGTTTTTGTAATAATAAATCAAAAAAAAAAAAAATAAAGTAATAAAAAGTAAAAAAAAAGTTAAAACATTAAAGAAATCTTTCAATTTAAAATTTTGGGTTAATTTGGTTAATTTATTATGTTATATATATATATATTTATTTAAACAAAAAGTTGGTTGTTACAAAAAATAAAGTTAAAATCAATACATTGTAGTTAACATTGCGTTAGTAGGAACACTACCTTAAAATGATTCTTTTTATTGATTGATTGTTTGTTTTTTTTCCGAAGTTAAATATGATTAGTGCCTAATTAAGAAATGTTTCTGATTATCAATTAAACAAATTTTTTTTAATAAATAAACGAGAAAATTTCATAGGAAAATAGGTAAAGACGCGTGCTAAAAAGGTTTGAAGTTACGCCGAAATTTTGATGTTTTCATTACAAAAATGGCTATCAACAAAATGAAAAAAGAATTAAATTAAAAATTCACTCGCAATCATCACGATATAAATTATTAATTAAAATGAAGAGATGCGTTACCTGACCTGATAATAAAACACAAGATGAAACAATGAACTGAGGTTAGTTCCCGAAGACCCTTTTTTTTTTAATAAAAAAAAATAAATTCCATTGTATTAATAATATGTACGATCATTTTGTACCAGGGTATGAAATCTTCCCCCTCCCCTTTTTTTAACAAACATAAGATAAAAAAAAAATTTTTTGGTTTAATCTATAAAAAAGTTTTATAAATAGCATTCACGAGATCAAGTCATTTGTGCTACCATCAACCAAAGTGAAGCCGTAATGAGAAATAGAGAAATAAATAAAATACTTGATTATCCAAATTTGTTTTGGGAAGTCTCACCTTCTTTCAGACTTTTCCTTTTGCAGAATTTCCTTTTGTAACAAAGTACTCAATAAATACTGTCAATGAGTGAAATGATAGTGCCACTCGCATATGTATAAGTATCTATCTCATTACCTCCAAATTAAAGTACTGAAAGTACTGAGAAAGACTGGTATTGTTTACTCTGGTTTCTGGTTTGTCGACCCAAGAAACGGTATTTAGAAACGACTGCACCTCTCATGCTCGCCGACTTTGACCCATAAAATCACATTGTTACAACAGAAATACATAACGATAGGACTCATATCATGATGGGTAGGAACAAAAGTTTCAGAAAACGGATTTCGGAATAAGGTTGAATGATCAAAGACACCTTCTCGAGTTAATAGAAACGGGTTCTTGAAATGAGAGAGGCCTCTTTTTTCATCCAAATGTGGTATAAGATAACGTCCATTCATATATTTTCACTATAAGGGTATAGGGGAGTATAGTAGTTGGTCTCGACTGTTTGATTATGAAATAGTTAATTAAGACAGGGTAGTGAACACAGTGTAGTGAACGTTTGTTTGAATATCTAACATTTTTTTCTCTGTTTTATTAAAAAAACATTCGCGCTTTACTGTGTCGTTTTTTTCATAGTATCGGAAATTAATTGACCCAACCAGATTATCTCTTATTTGATTAGTACCCCAAACCTACCCCCCCATTTCATAAGTTTCATGCTGACTCATTCTTGGATTGGGAAATTCTAACCTAAATTAGAAATAAGAGTTGCACTAGACGGCTATTGGTTGATGTCCAATTTGGAAATATTACTATATACTTTAAGGTTTCAGATCAAAGTTTAAATAGCTTGATGGACGCGGGGGGAAGGGGAGGGAAAGGTCTTTTTATACTAATACATTGACTGAGACCCTAAAGCTTTTATATATGGACAGTTTAGAATATACTATAAATCATTCGATCAGACAAAAATAAAATATAAGTATATTAAAGGATACTGTACAGATTTCCTTTGTTGTTTGTTGGATGGCGTTGTTTAATTAATTGATCGGGCCCCGAAGCTTGGGGAATACATTGATAAGAAATGATAAAATCGGGTTATTTTCCAACCGATCAAACAAAACAAAAGTTTAAGTCTTTGTTGGAAGGCGTTGTTTATTAAACTTGGTTCTGTGTTGTTACGAAAATATTTGTGCCAATTGTTTCAATTGTACAATAGGTATCGAAATTATTTGTTTTTTTATTCCTTCGAGTTGATATTATGTGTTGATGTTATAATAAACTCTTATTTCGATTGAATTCGATTTGAAAAAAAAAAAAACGTAGTTTCGCTTCACTCCGAATTTCCAACGGGATAAGGTAAAAAAAAAAAAAAAAAACGGACAAAAATTTGATTCCTGAATTGTTAATCCCAAACCCACGTCAACCATATTTGGCATGTGAAAAAAAAGACCTATTTCGCATTAGTTTCGAATCCTTCCGAAAGATCGAAATTTCTTCTTAGGGTGATAATATCATTTATAAAAACAAAAAAAAAAAAAAGCACATTTTTTGATTTCTAATCTAACCGATGCTTCGGTATGGTCAACAAATGTGGTATGATCGGTAAAAAAAAACTTTAATATCGCCACAAACGATGGGATTAGATATTTTCTTTTAGTCGATTCCTTTTTAAGCGATCAACGGGTAATAAATATTCTGAATAAGCAAATTACTTCATTTGTTGTTCAAGGTTTCTGTCCCTCGACCCCAAATTTTTATTTTTTCTCACATCTAAAACGTAGCAAGGTTAAGGTGAGAGATTTGCAGATTAAGCATCAACAGATCACGTGAAATACAATGTGGTAAATGGAGGAAAAAACTGGGAACGTTGTTTTTACCATTCAAAAAAAAGATTTAAAAAAATTTTTTTTTAATAAAAAAATTCATTGATTCCCCTAACCGTGTGTGACTTTACGTTCATCCCTCGTTTTTCCGTATGAACTAAATGCTTCGAGATGTTTCTCCGTAACTTAACGTTAATTCTTTAATGTTAAATTCTTTACAATTTTTAAGGAAGGATCGAAACGGCCGATATCGAGAACTCTTAAGAAGTAGTTATCACGAGAATCTTCAAATTTTCTGGTACGTAACCTGCCAATCGTGGCAGATATTCCTCATTCCCGAATCGAATTTACCTCGGATCTTTAATAATTCATTAGGATACCTTTTAACGTTACCATACCTTTTCAACTCCTTTATATTCGCAAAACCTGTTACAAATGATCGCCGAAATCTCATTGACTGGGTGGTGAACGTATGATTATTTTAAAACTCGCAACTTGTTTAGGGGACCTTTGAAATAAAAGGTTACTTGATAATTCATCACACGACAAGAATTTTTAATTGCTCCAATTCACGACATGCGACGACGCCTCACATCAGGGAAACATTAAAAACGCACGTATCAGATTTAACGATTCTTAAAGAATGACCTTGAAATATGAGAAAATCGATTATTCGAGATAAATTAACGCTATGAAAAAGGGCAAAATGAACGTAAATTTTTTTTTTTTTTTGCGATTTAATGAGCGTTATCAAGGCATCGATCGCGGGATCTTGATGATGGATGTCAATTATTTTTAACTCTTCGATAAGTTGACAACGTTGAGATGTTATGAGGAAGATCTCTCTCCATCTTTAATAAGAATTATTTCCGCAAGTGAATTTACGCAAGTTGAGATAAATATGTATGATTTCGTCACAAGAGGTGAAACGAATACGGCGATATCCAACGTACCGATCGTGTCGATTTCCAACCTTGACATCGACTCGAGATAAATTCATTGTATTCTGATCATCTTTGGTGATAATCGGTGAAAATTTATTTGTTTCGTTATTAAATACTCTTAATGAAAATAATGAAACGTTTTGATGATTTCCACCAGATGGATATTAATCTGCATAATTCGGACCAGATCAACAAGAAGGGTAATCAAAAAGCTGCCGTTCTCCGTACTTTGGTATTGGTATTTCAATATCAAGCAAAGCTTTGGATTCTTCACTTAAAATGACAATGAGGATCAGATGATCCTACATTATATGGAAAATGGGCATCTCCACAATATAGGAACGACGAGTTTACTCGACGTCCTATTAACTAACAAGCAGGAATGTAGAGAAGAAATATCCTTTTCTAGATTAATTAGGATTTCTTCCATGCTTTCTATACTAGAAGCCATGAGAAATTGGGTTTTTTTTTTGTGGCTTAAAAAACCATTATTTGTATCACATGTATTACTCTTAATTTAAGGATAGATCCGAATCGTCACGAGAAGAGGATTATGATATTACACTTTCCAAGAAGTGACTGCCTACGACCATCTAAACTTTATAAGTTCGCTTTATTGCAAAATTTCTCTCTTAAAAATATCATGACTGACGTAGAGCAAATGAAATCAGTCGCCGGTAACCACTTTAAACTCGCTCTTTTTTAAAATAATATTTTTGCAAATTCTTATTCTCCCTTTTATAAGGTAGATACTCTTCGGCCAGTTGTTGTGTCCGGACCATCGGGTGAATAGCATTTAATTTTTATTTATTGAAACTTTTCAATATCATATATTCGCGTTTATTTAAACAGTTTCATCACTTTTACAAAGGGTCAGGCAAGTCCACATTGCTCAGACGTCTCTTTAAAGATTATCCCGATAAGTTCGGGTTCAGTGTGTCTCGTAGGTCAAAATCGTTTTTCATGAGCCGCTTTATTTAAATTCCTTGAGCTAAATTCATATCCATCATTAGATACCACTCGTTCCCCTCGTCAGGGAGAAGAAAATGGCGTTCATTATCATTTTGTAACACGTAACGAGTTTGTGAATCTAATCAATCAGAATAAATTTGTTGAACATGCAGAATTCTCGGGAAATCTATATGGAACTAGCATTGAAGCGATCAGGTCCGTTTCATCCCTGGGAAAAATTTGTATTTTGGACATTGAATTAAATGTATGTGTGTTTTTTTTTTAAAACTCCAATCTGGTTAGTTTGATAAATTTTGATCATTATAACGATTACAGGGGGTGAAAGCTGTCAAGAAGACCGATCTTAATGCACGATTCGTCTTTATCAAGCCACCTTCATTGGAAGCTCTCGAAAAGAGGCTCCTCGGTCGCAATACCGAGACCAAAGAATCCATACAAGCGCGTCTGAATGCTGCAAAAGAAGAATTAGCTTATGCGGATCAAGAAGGCTCACATGATATAATCATCGTAAATGACGATTTAGACACTGCATATGAAAGGCTTAAAAATTTCATTGTTGAATAAAGGTTCCATTTATTTATTTTTATATATATATATATATATGTATGTATTTCTTTAATTTAAATCCTGTTCGTTAAAGGGAAACATACAACTAATTAAACGCAGACGGCTTGATTCCCAATTTGTGTTCCATAATTGCGTGAACATTCATCATCTCCGTTGATGATTCTGGTTCTGTTAATAAAGCAAGTGTATACTATGTTTAAAAACCATGATTTTGATTAAAAGTAAAGAAGGGATTGAAATGTCAAATATAACAAACCGTTCAAGAAATCCTCGAAATCAATGGTTTCATCCTTGCCCGTCAAAATGTCTAAACTAAGGTTAGAGGAAGGTAAAACCGGAATACGTTGAACCTTGAAATTGAACAACATCTTATTATACATGGCTTGCTTATTAACATTTTTAAAGTTACGTGACAAATTTATTACCCTTGATACAATGTTACGTTCCATGAGAACTCTAATCGGAGCGTGCATACCATACAGTCTTCTTTGCATCGTAAGATTTAAATTCGTTCGAGTTTCGTCCCACTTTTTATTTTGACGTATAAAAATAAAAAAAAATTCCGAATCGTAAGACATTTACATATTTTATAAACAGTAATTTTTACCTTACATGTTTAAGTCTATTCTCTAGCGAATGCTTTTCTAAAATTTCAGACTCGATTGTTCTTATTCCATAACGTAAAGTATCGTGAACACCAAAGGAATTGGCCGTCTCTGTAAGGCTTTTAGAGTCATGATCTGCGTGAGAAGAGGGAACAATTTGAAGAGACTGGTTTACCTATCAAATCGATAAATTTGAAGTGAGTCAACTATTCATAAGATTAAACTTTGGGAACTAATAAGCTTAACCATACCATGTCCATGTTTGATTCAAAACGTATTCCTTTTAAAAAAAAATATATATATATATATATATATCCTATATATCCCTATTTTTTCGTATCGGGGTGTCACAAACGTATTTATTTGGGTTGCGTAATCATCGATCTGAATTCCAGATGTAAAAAAAAAAAAATTTTGTTACAAGCCACTGTTTTTTTAATTTTCAAATCAGAGAAAATCATGGGTAAAGCCAAGAAAGAAAAGAACAGAATTTCTAAAGAACAAAATAAAAATGGGGGTGGTCCGGCGAAAGGTAACCTGAAAGTAAAGGGTGAGAATTTTTATCGGGATGCTAAACAAGTGAAGTTTGTTAATATGCTCAAGGGAGGAAAGCCGACTAGAAATTCTAAAGGAAAGATCGTTAAGGAGGCACCTTTTCAGAGTAAATTGGCCCTTGCTGCTAAAGTGCAACCGGATAGGCGATGGTTCGGTGAGTTTTTATCTCGATGGTTAGTGTTACTTCTTACGCCATCAACATGACACGTACTTTGAAAATTACTAGGGAACACTAGAGTCATTGGACAAAAGGAATTGGAGGCTTTTCGAGAAAGTCTCGGTTCAAAAGTCAATGATCCATATCAAGTGTTACTTCGACAGAATAAATTACCCATGAGTTTATTATCCGATGCATCAAAGGTAAGTGCTAATTCAAGCATTATTTTTAAATTCTTGGATTTTTTTTTTTTTTAAAAAAAAATTTTTTTTCCTTTCAATAGGTATCGCGAATGCACATGGTTGACACAGAGCCATTTTCTGATACATTTGGTCCAAAGGCGCAAAGAAAACGACCAAAGTTGAAAGTTGATTCATTGGAAGATTTAGCAGCTAGTACAACTGAATTATTAGAAAATTATGATGACAAGAATGATCCATCACTATTGTCTAATAATGTAACTGATTGGATCGACGAAGCTAGGGATAGCGTATTCTCCAAAGGTCAATCCAAGCGTATCTGGAATGAGTTATATAAGGTAAGTGGTTAAATACCTCTAAAACATAGTTGAATTGGACCCAATTGATAATCGCTATACTTTTCCCCCAGGTTATAGATTCATCAGATGTTGTTATTCACGTTTTGGATGCACGGGATCCAATTGGTACGCAATGTAAAAACGTCGTAAAATATATAAAAAAGGATGTTGGTCATAAACATTTGGTTTTCCTGTTAAATAAATGCGATCTGGTCCCAACTTGGGTTACGGTAAGTTGATTGATTCGAATGTGTAATGAAAAAGCTTCACCTACACGCATTTGTTTAATTGATTTTTGTTTAATGATTCCCGCCATATGAAGTCAGGGTAGCTTTTTTTGTAATGGTAAAAGATTACCCGTTACAATTATGGCAGAATAAAATTCGCACTTCGCCTTGAACTTCTTGTTCTAAGAATGTTCTAACAGAGTGTGTCGTGTTTTGAGTAGAGTTGAAGAGTGAAAACTTAACTTATTTCCCTTTGCTTTTCTTAGTTTCAAATCGAACATCCATAAAAAAAACTTTTAATGTTGGTTATCGGATTTTATTAACTTTGTCTGTTATCTCATTATGTTATATTAGGCAAAATGGGTTTCGATATTATCAAAGGAATATCCGACTTTAGCATTTCATGCTAGTATAAATAATTCTTTTGGTAAGGGATCCTTGATACAATTATTAAGGCAATTTTCCGCTTTACATTCGGACAAGAAGCAAATTAGTGTCGGGTTTATTGGTTACCCAAACACTGGAAAAAGCTCAATCATAAACACTTTAAGAAACAAAAAAGTGTGTAACGTTGCTCCGATCCCTGGTGAAACGAAGGTAAAGTTTAGAAAAGCAAAAGGATTATTATATATATATATATTTTTAAAAAAATATTTGTTTAAATGCATTTTTAAAAATTTTTTTTTTTTAGGTATGGCAATACATCACGTTAATGAAACGTATCTATTTAATAGATTGTCCGGGAATTGTACCACCATCATTGGAAGACAGCGAAACAGATATTGTACTTAAAGGAGTTGTAAGTAAGGAACAAAAAGGTTTACTGTGCGTTTTTTTCCCTCCGCCAGACAAGCATTTTTGTTAAAAGCACGCACCTTCTCTTAGGTACGCGTTGAAAATCTAAAAACTCCCGAAGATTACATTCAAAAAATACTAGAAATAGTACGAAAAGAATATATACAACGTACTTATGAAGTACGTGAATGGACAGACCATGTAGATTTTCTTGCGCGATTAGCACAAAAATATGGTAAATTATTAAAAAAGGGCGAACCTGATTTGGGCACCGTATCTAAAATGGTTCTGAATGATTGGCTACGTGGTAAAATACCATATTTTACCCCCCCTCCACGAAATGATGATGACGTTGATGAGATTAAACATGCCGAGCAAGTTAAAGAGGAGGAAGAGGTTGCCGAGAAAATTTCTGATAATTCAAAGGTAATTTAATTTACAAACATGATGAACTGGAAAGATCATGTTAAAGTCTTGAAATATATTTAGCCGTGTTTCAAATGAGCTTTTTCATTATTAACAAAATATAATATGGGGTGCAAATCCAATTTGAATATTTCCACATGGTTACGATATTTTTAATCTTACATTATGATAATTATGACACTTCTACTTTTGTCACTATGATATTTACAACAATTTTATCTGTAAGATTTGAGGACTTATGAATCTCTGCTTCTCTATATATATATATTAATTATATCATTTAGGAAAAGAAAAAGGAATTAAAAGGAGTAGAACAAAATTTCCGTAATATAAAGGTCATGACATCATTTTTACCTGACGATCTTGGAAATGAAGAAGCCGAAGCTAAAATAACATTGCAATACGAAGAAAATGATATCATCGATGATGATGATGATGATGTTGATAATTTAACGATTGAGAATAAAGTTCAAGAAGATAAGGATATACCTGATTGGGATGAGATATTTGAAAGTGTGGTTGGTGAAGAAGTGTCTAGCATTATGAACGCCAAAGTTGAGAATGCTAACCAAGATGATGATGCCGAAACATTAGCCGATGAAGATATAAGTGAGTTGCATTTGAAAACTGATGAGTCCGACAAAGAACAAAATGATGATGAAGACGAATCAGATGAGGGGGAAGATCACGATGATGATACTTTGTATCAAGAGGAGTCATCGCACAAAGGAAAGAATAAGGCTGAAAATGTAATAAATAAGTCAAAAAAGAACAAGCGTGATAAAAGAAAAGGTACGCATCAAGCATCACGATTAATTAACTTGCATGTTTTTTTACAATTTAACCTTTATCGTTTAAATTAAAGGGACACATGATGACGATGAAGTAACAATATCCAAAAAAGAACCGCGTATGAAAACTAATAAGAGAAAGATTGGGGTGCATTTTTATGAAACTGCTAATGTCAAAAATCGAAATAGAAAGAAAGTTAAGCCGCAAGATATTACAAAGTTAGCTAAAAAATTTAAAAATATGGGGAATAAAAAATAAAACTCTAATTTAAAAAAAAATTAATGGATTTTTTGTTTTTTTTAAAAAAAAAAGGAATTTATCTTTATTTTACGCGGAAAATCTAATCAACTAATCACATTTACTAGTTTAGCAATGCTGATATTATAATGTTTCCTGTAAGCTACGAACAAACTTTACGCTACAAGATTGTAACCTATTTTTTTTTTAAAAAAAAAAAAAAATATTCATATTTAAATCTCAAACCAAATTTAAAAGATGCTCAAAAAAGTTGATTCGTGATTTAAATACCATGATTTCCACGGAGTGATGATAATAATTTCTGCGAAATGCAATAATTAAGACGTAAAGTTTTATTCATGTACAAGACCTTCGTAGGATTGTTATTTATCCTCTTTGATACCAGAAAATGCAACTCCGTTAATCATTTCTATTTCTTCCTCAGTAATGATAATTTCTTCATACTCATTTGAAGTTGATTCACTTCTACTACTTCCGCTTGAATCATCATCAATCTGCATGTCTCCAATTCCAAAATTTAACTTAAATAAATCATCACTAATTTCGCATTTAATTCTTTTATGTGATTCGACTTCAGTTACTTCAAAACTGTCCGGTTTATTTCGATCAAAACTGTTTTCGTGTTTATATTTAAACCCTTGTTCTCGTAAAAAATCAATCAAGCAATTGATGTATACAGCAATTTTTGCTGCATCATAAAGTGGATTTGAAGAATCACGTATTCTTTGGCATCTATCCTGAATACCTTGCATTGCTTTTTCTCCTATATCATCCAATCCATTAAGCCTTTGGATTTCTGGTTGTTCTTCGTTAATAATGGATGAACACGTAGTAATTTTATGTGGCATGATAAAGGATGGAAGAATGAAACTGTGAAATATCACTCAAAAGAGAGAAATTGTTGAATTAAATATAGTAAAAAAAAAAAATTGGTCATTTCATAAATAAACTTTTAAATGTTAAAGTCGGAGATTTTATCGCAAGTCGATTTATCTACATATCGGCAGGAAAAAAAAAAAGTTCGAAGCGGGACACATTGAAAATGTTAAAATACGAAAGAATATTATGGTTATGCAATATACCGTATCATTACGTCATTTACGAGCTTAAGCCGTCACGGACTTATTAAAATGTCGGCCCGGCCCGGCCTTAATAATATGAAATCCCCTAAATTCTCTCACTTGCGTATTTGAAGCTAGAATTGGATTATTGTCACGGAAAAACGCGCGATTTTAGATTTTTAGCAATTTTAGATCTGTAGAATTCATCAGATTATTTTAATTTACAGTCGACCCTCTATATAGTCACTTCCTATCAGTGTTGGCATATAGTCATATGAAAAATTTTATGACTTCATAGCCATATGTCATATGACTAAATGTCATAAGTCATAAAGTCATATAGATTAACTAATTCCGGCCGGAATTATAAGTAAGAAATTGTCTTATTTGGTAAGAATTTGTGTAACAGAATCTCTTTTATGGAAATGATTTAATTAATAATTCCGGCCAAATATAATGCCGGCCTAAATTAAGAAATATATGATAATGTCATAAGTCATAAGATCTATTAAATGATAAATGACTTATGACAAGTCATATAAGTCATATAAGATATGATATCATGTGTTAACACTGGTCTCCTATATAGTCACTCCTTCCTATCATATAACTTTTTTATAATCATATCAAATTATTTTGATCCTGAGTATAGGAGGTTGATTATATTATATATACAATAATCTATAAACTTTTATATCATAATATTATCTAGAAAAATCAGATTCTAAAAAATTTTTGACTAAAATTAAGAGCTTAATGAATTTTAATCTAATAATATTAAAAACTAAAATGTGTTACAACATTTTTAACTTTGATATAGAATCATAAAGATTATATACACATAAAATTTCAAAGTTTTCATTTAAAATATGTTAAATATTCTAATTTTTTTTTTTCTTAAATAAACTATTTCTAGAATTAAATCTTAAATTTTAATAACATAGGTAAATATTTTATATTTTAAAGTTAATATTGCAATAGAAATAGTAATAAAAGAAACATTAGATAAAGAAATTCAATATATAATGATAAAAATATTAACTTTAGAATAATAATAATAGTAATAAAAAAAAGTTAAATAGAGAAATTTGATATATAGTTAAAGTTGCTTATCTAAACTCATTTTGGATTTGGCAAAATATCTAAATTATAATTTCGCTAATTTTTTACTAAGGTTTTGATAAAGTTTCTCATTTTATAAGCTTTAATATAGTTTTATCTTTTTCAGAATTTGCAGATATTTTAATAAGGATTTAATATAATTTCGTTAAATTTACCTTATTCCATTTAGATGACTTACAAAACCTTTAGATTTCATCCAGTAACCTTATATATAGTGATAGAAATATTAGCTTTAGAATAATAAAAATAGTTATAAAAAGAATATAAAATAAAGAAATTTAATAGAAATATTAACTTTAGAATGAAATTAATTAATATCATATGAAATTATTTTTAGTAATAGAAAACATAACACTAGATAAATAGAATTCAAAATAGATAACTAAATATCAAATTTAAGTATGATCTTATCAAATTAGTTAACATTAAATTTAAAAGCTAGTATAATATATTTATTTACCATTTATCAAACTTTTATTTTACATGGATTTTAAATTAAAATATTATTAATTATTGAATTAATTTAATTGATTTTTAATATACTATAAATTTTATAAATAAATTATTATTTTTTAATAAAATCTAGATTTAAATTTTTTTTATATAAAAAAATTAATTTAATAAAGTTGTTTAAATTAATATTTATTTTAAAATAAAATTTTAATATATTTATTTAATATATTAAAAAATGATTAAAAATGTTAATTTATAAATAAAAAAATTAGTAAATTAGTAAAAATATTAAAAATTAATCTAATTTTTGATAAAAATTTAAAGTTAAATATTTTTAAATCTATTAAATATTTACTTATTTATAAAGAAATTTAAAATAACTAAAGTTTTTAACTTAAACTTTTTAAGATAATAAATTTGTAATTAATATTATTATAAAAATATTATTTATTCTATAAATATTAATTAATATAATAAAAAATTTAAAAATAATTAATTTTTAATCTGTTATTTAAATTATAAAAATAATTTTACTTTAATTAAAAAATTTTAAATTATATTTTGATAAAAAAAAATAATTTATAAATTAGTACTATTATATAAAATATTTTATTTTAATTAAATAATAATAATATAAATTTAAGTGAATTTTAACTTATGCTTTGAAATTATTAAATAAAAATTTTTTTTTTATAAAAAATAAAAGAAAATTTAATTAAAATATAATAAAATATTATATAAAACTTAAATTACATCTACTATTAGTTATTATTATAAATTTTAAATATATAATTTTTAAAAAAATTTATAAATAATACTTTAAATTATTAAAAATATATATATATATATAATTTTATTAATATTATTAATTTTTTTAAATTTGATAAAATTTAATCTTAATAATAAATTTATAATGATAAATAATTAACTGAAATATTAATTAATTCTTAATTTTTATATTAATAATTAATTTTCAAAATTGCAGATAAATTTATTTACAATATTATTAAAAAAATTAATTTTTAATAATAGTCACTTAAATAAATATATTTATAACTTTTATTTATTATTTATATAAACTAAATAATTATCTTTAAAATAAATATTTTTTATAAATAATTCAATTTTTAAAAATTAATATAAAAAATTAATATAATTATTAATAATTTTAATATTATTATCTATTTATTTTATATTCTTTATTAATTATTAATTTTTTTAATATAAATAGAATTAAAATCATATATTTTTCAAAAGAATTAAAATAATTTAATATAACTAATATTATATAAATATTAATTTTATCTCATATATTACTAAATTTATTTGATTATTTTATCCCTTAAACTGTAGAGTAGGCAAATTTACTTGCAAATATAAAAAAAAGTATTAATTTTTTAATAAAAAATAAAATATTAATATTAATAATATAATTTTTATATAAAAAAAATATAGTTTAATATATATTTTATCAATTTTATTAGAAGAAATTTTAAGTTTATTAAAAAGTATTTTAATTAATTCAATTTTAAATTAAGTTTAAAAAATTTATCATAATAATTTTTTAAAAATTTTCTTAAAATTCATATGTTTGCAAATTAATTAAATTAGTTTATTATTAATAAAAGCATATAATTTCTTAGTAAATTATAAAAACTGTAATAATTAAAGTTATTCTTCATAATAAATTTTATAATATTCTATTATTGCTAAAAGTAAATGCTAATAAGATAGTCAAAGGTCAATGATAAAATTTTTAATTTATAATTTTTTTAAATTTACAAATTTTTAGCTTATAAGTAACTTTAAATTATTTATTATATAATTAAAAAATAAAATTTACTATAATATTATA